GGGAGGGATGCCTCCCGGGAGGTGTTTGTTGGGGGAAAGGTGTCTCACCAACACACCCCTTCATCATGTATATAAGTGGGTCTCCCACATTGCAATGGAATGAGTGAATCATTTGAACTCTTCATTTGTCTTATGCTTTCGCTCTACAACAGAATTGATACCGTACGGGGCTCGGATTCCTTTTACTGACGGAACGAGGAGGGGCTACGTTGTGCAAGCGGCCGATAAACAAATAATACGAGGGCTGGGTGGGGAAAGACGGATGCGAGAGCAGAAAGAGTCCACACCGATTCGGCAGGTGTCTGTATTTATTTCCCTAGATTGATTTTTTTTTTCATAGGTTTCCTAGATAGATTGGATCGATCCCCTTTCTAAAGAGTCCACGTCGATTCGGCAGGTGTCTGTACTTCTTTTCCGGGTCGATTCCCTTTTTAAAATCTCAACCGTCAATTTTATAGTTAAGACAAAATTAATGGATATGAAGAACTAAGAAAGCTTTCTCCTTTTCGTATTATATATAGCAGAAGAGCCCGTGTGTTGCAACGGGAAAAAAATAACACTCGTCCCTAATCCAAGAATCATGACTCAAGACCTCAATAGGTCCATGTCCTTTATTTGAACATCACATCAATGCCCACACAACCACAACACGTTTGAATGTGTCAATCCTATCTCTTTCTCAGCATAAGATCAGAAATTTGCTTTTTTTTTTCCTGTGAGGTTTTGCCGTCGCGTGCATGTGTGGTTATAGATGGTTTCTTTCGTCTCTAATTTGGTTTTGCTGAGTTGTTCATTTTCTATCTGGATCTGCAACGGTACGAAATAAAGACGGATCATGCACTATTTATTAAGGTTGCATCCAAAACAATATTTTAAAAACGTTTAACGAGTAAAATAACATAATATTCAGATTCTACACATTTTTTGATCAAATTTTATATATAACACATTAAAATTGTTTTTCCTGGTTAAAAGATATGATTATTCTTAAAAACATATGATATGGATTGCGGGTTGAATTTAGGAAAAAACAAAGGGCTCTTTGCACAACATGTGGTTATCAAAAACTATACTGCAGTTTAATTACTAGTAACTACACAGGGTTTTCTACAAAATTATGTGACGGATGACCAGGACGACGACCGGAAGCATTCCCTACTTTATTATTAGCTTTACTTTATTTATTACTCCCTCCGTTTACTTTATTTATTACTCCCTCCGTCACAAAATAAGTGTCTTGAGACACTTATTTTGTGAGTGAGGGAGTATTAGGCAAGAGAGATAGAGATTAGGAGTATAGAGTGGCGTTTGAGTTCTGCTCTGTATCCTTTCAACTCTGTCCCAGGGAAGCTAATGTTGTTGCAAACGAATTAGCCAAAATAGCTAGATCACCTTTTTGTAACTACTTCCTCTGTTGATTAAGGATGTAAACCTGGTTACTAGTTATGAAGAGGAAATCCTGTTATACAAAATACATCAATTGGTCCAAAGTACACCCGAAAGGTAAGCTTTTCCAATGCACCCAGAATAAAAAATTAAGACAAGACAGACCAATACTAAAAAGTATTCCTGGTTTCTTCTATCTGCCGAACAATTCCTAGCATAAGCTCTTCACTCTTCAACAAATATCTTTTCTTTAGCTTGCTCAAGTCTTATATTCTGTAACTTCTCGCTGAGTTCCAGACTGCAGCAAACGAATCAAAGTTAGACCGCGAGAAAACCAATGCAGCTCGTTACAGAAACAAATCCATTCAGGTATGTAGCCACATCAATAATTATAACCATGATTTCATTGACTTTGCAAAATAGTCTTTACAGCATGAGTGCCGTAGATTTGGGAACTAACGTCTGCATGACTAGTTCAGAACCTACAATGTAGTACTATCTATCAGCTCTGATTGACTACAATAAAAGTTGATTCAACTCAACATCATTTGTGGAGCTAGTGATACGAACATGTTGATAGGCTGATTGGCTCTAGAGTGCAGCATTAACAGTGTTGTCAATTTGTAGGGGCTGTTTCGATTGATGCCATCATGCGCCCCACCAAAAAATTGGTGTTGACCCATCCCCTGGTACTCATTTGGATGGATGCCAAAATTTTGGTGCGCCCAAGCCCTTTACAGTATGCTAGTTCATTTTCTTGCCAACCTTTTGGCAATCAGTGGGCGGTCAAAACAATCGCCGATTATTTGGCAAGCCAACGGTTGGCAAGGCCAGCATTGGCTCAAACCAAACAGCCCCGTAATGCATCAAGAGGATGATTAATGCTATTTAGCATACGTAGAATTGTTACTCATGAAGTGTAAACAACATGCAGTAGTATTCAACATTTGTCCTCACTCATGTGATAGTGTGAACACAAACATGATACTATAAATTATCATATTCTGGCGGCTCTGATAGATCCGGAAGGAACCAAAAATAGATAAGTATAAAACTTGACAGTAATTTTTTGCCTCTCCAAAGTCATAACGAATATAGTTCAACGGCATGACTTCCTTTTATTAGCCGAGCAAACTACATAGATCGTGCTTACCAAATCTAGTGACAATTTGAGAGCACATGGCAAATTGTACATGTTTAACACCCAACTGGATGCCAGTAAAACAGACAAATCACGGGTCTACAACAGATGTCAAAAGTATAATCGCAGATTACTATTTGAATTAGAACTCATAATTTGCAGAACTGACCAGCCCGTTTAGAGAGTGTCTTGCTATATTTTTGCATAGTAAACCACAGTTCACAGGATTGATTAGGCACTGAGTTTTAGATTTTGTTATCTTAATTTGATGTGCTAATTTGCCAAGCCACAAATCACCTTACTTTGTTGAATTTCAAAATCACAAGAACACAAATAACAGTAACAAGTAATACTTTCCTAGCTAATACTACCAAGTGGTAACATTTCACATTAATGGTGAGGCCAAGAGTAAATACTGGCAGAGATGAACATGAGGCAATGTTACCTTCTGATGGCATGCTGGTCCAAGTATCGGGTGAACGGGCTGGGAACAAAGGAGTAACCAGGAAATGATCTCCAGTGGGCCATGTCAATGGAGCATTTCTCTTCTTCTTCTTCTTCAAAGATGTAGAGACTGGTTGACCCCAGCACTTCCTTCTTCATGTCAATCTCAATCAGCCAGAAAAGTTTATTACCACCATTCAACCGGAAGTAAACAACATCAGGCTTAACCAAGCTGATGGTAGGGAACTCTGGTAGCACATGCGGAAGACGCTTGTCAAAATCAAGAGCAGCCCAGAACTTGCTGTCTTCCATGGTGAAACATTTCATCCATTTCTTTTCCCTTAAGTTGGTCAAAGTCCATACTGTGATAGTGAAAGCAGAATAAGAACTGGCACACACACTGCAGCCAGCATGATCACCAACACATATGAGGTTAATCATGCTGGACTCAGAGACACAGACACGACGGGCCGGGTCAGGATACCCTGGGTCAATGCACAAACGATTGGAATCCAGACCATCAGGTAAGGGGACGTAGCACGGGGGCTTCGTCCGCTTGTCAATGACACCGACAAAAAGCAAGCCCAGGTAGCAATCCGCCCAGCACAGGTAACAATCACCATAGGGGACGACGGCGTCCGTTTGCCACGAACCACACAGCAGGTTTGGGATGTCATCGCCGTCAGGTAAGGGCATATTTTCGACGCTCCAATTCATGTCGCCCTGCTCCTCCCCAGGTTTATGGTGTAGCACGCAGAGCTGGCCGCCAAATGTGAGCTGCGCCACCACGAACTCCCCCTTGCCACGGCAAAGGAGGCCAATGTCATCACGCCACATAGATCGCAGCTGCTGGAGACGGTACGGGTGGAAGTACAAATCCACGTCCGGGTTCTTGTCCCCACCATCGAAGCAAGGCGGGAGTCGCATGAGACAAGGAGACTTCTCTGAGTCAGAGGCTGTGTAGAGGAAATAGTCCATGGGGTAATAGTAGAATGCCGGACAGCTATCTCCAACGAAGGGGGCCTGCGCCTGGAAAAGTATGGAGCGGCCGTGAGCCGCGATGATGAACGGCTGACTCACCTGGCTCAACGACGCCGTCATGAATCGCTCGGGCCAGTGGAGGTAGAGACGGGACACAGCGGGCGGTTCAGCAACCCTGAGAGAGACGGCGATGCTTATGTTGGTGCAGGTAGAGGATATCGCCGATTGCGTGCCGTCCATTACCTCCTCCGCAACAGCCTCACCCGCGTACGCCTTGTAGTGGACGAAGCGATCTAGCATCACCCAGCGAGGGTGAGAGCGGGAGAGCTCCGCACCGGGTGGCGGATGAAGACGCCGACGAGCTGCCATGTCGTACGGAACAGGAAGCAGACGGAAGGTCAGAACGGATCTAGGGTTCGTCTCGAGAGGAAGGTCTCGTTTCTTTTCTTTTTGATGATTCAGGGGAGAGGGGAAGAATGCCTTCCGCTGTTGGTTGCGGCGGCCTGCGAAGGGGTAGGGTTGGGAGTTCCTTTCTGAAGGGCAGATGGCGGTGCCGGGCCGTTTCATGGGCCAAAGTCTCGGTGCGTCTTAACTGTCGGCAACAGAGACAATCCGCCGGGAGCCCCCTATTTGGCGCGTGAGGCACCCTCGCGTCGTTTTCGTTTTTTCTTTGTTTTTTTACTTCTGTTTTTTATTCTATGTTAAAATAATTCGGGATCACAACAAGTTCTGATTTTCTTTAAACAGAGAATTATTAAAAACAGTTCTTGAATTCAAAAAATGTTCACGATTTATATAAGAATGAACACTTTTCTAATTTTAGCAAACATTTTTTTTTAATTTTGGCGAATAATTTTTATGAGCATTTTTTAATACTTATGTACAATTTTTCGTATTCGATTAACATTTTTTGAATTTGATGAACAAGTATTCGAGAACTTTTTTGAAAAATAACGAACACATTTTTAATACAATGGACACTTTTTGAGTTTGATGAAAACTTTCTAAAAACAGTGAAAATAATAATTTGATGAACATATGCTTAGTTCGATGAGCAAATTTGAATTGTGATGAACATTTTTTAAATCCGATGAACCAAAAATTGAGTCTAATGAACATTATTTGCATTCTTGAACATTTTTTTACATGGTTGAACATTTTTTGAGTTTTATGAACAAAAAAATATTCATGGATTTGAAACGAAAAATCGCAAAAAAAAGTAATGAAAAAATAGATGATAAAAAGGAAAATAAAACCGAAAGGAAAAAAAGAAAATAAATAAAAAGGAAAAAAGAAAAGAATAGAAGATAAAAACTAAAAAGATAAAGATAAAAAATGGCAGAGAAAACATTGAAAAGAACTTCCCAAAACCGGTGGGGAATAAACTACTTAATGGGCCGGCCTATACAAATGATCGGGAGCTCAGGTGTGCGCGCTATGTCGCTAGCACGCGACCCGCGCGCCAAATAGGAGCTGCCCAGTCCGTCAAAGGCAAATATAGCCATGGATTCACCGAAGCAAGCGTCCACTTGGGTCGGCCCACGTACGGGATTCATGTGATTTTTCATTAACTGTTGTTCCCTCTGTTGGGGAACGTAGCAGAAATTCAAAATTTTCCTACGTGTCACCAAGATCTATCTATGGAGAAACCAGCAACGAGGGGAAGGAGAGTGCATCTACATACCCTTGTAGATCGCTAAGCGGAAGCGTTCAAGTGAACGGGGTTGATGGAGTCGTACTCGTCGTGATTCAAATCACCGATGATCAAGTGCCGAACGGACGGCACCTCCGCGTTCAACACACGTACAGCCCGGTGACATCTCCCACGCCTTGATCCAGCAAGGAGAGAGGGAGAGGTTGAGGAAGACTCCGTCCAGCAGCAGCACAACGGCGTGGTGGTGATGGAGGAGCGTGGCAATCCAGCAGGGCTTCGCCAAGCACCATGGGAGAGGAGGAGGAGGAGAGGCAGGGCTGCACCAACGAGAGGAGAAGTTCTCATGTGTTATGGGCAGCCCCAGGCCTCTATTTATATAGGGGAGAAGGGGGCTGCGCCCCCTTTAGGGTTTCCCACCCCAAGGGGTGCGGCCAGCCCTAGATGGGACTTGGGGAGGCGGCCAAGAGGGGGAGAGAAGGGAGGCGCCCACTAGGTGGGCCTTAAGGCCCATCTGGACTAGGGTTTGCCCCCTCCCACTCTCCCTTGCGCCTTGGCCCCCTTGTGGGGGGCGCACCAGCCCTCCTAGGGGCTGGTCCCCTCCCACACTTGGCCCACACAACCTTCTGGGGCAGGTGGCCCCACTTGGTGGACCCCCGGGACCCTCCCGGTGGTCCCGGTACATTACCGATATCGCCCGAAACTTTTCCGGTGACCAAAACAGGACTTCCCATATATAAATCTTTACCCCCGGACCATTCCGGAACTCCTCGTGACGTCCGGGATCTCATCCGGGACTCCGAACAACATTCGGTAACCACATACAAGCTTCCTTTATAACCCTAGCGTCATCGAACCTTAAGTGTGTAGACCCTTACGGGTTCGGGAGACATGCAGACATGACCGAGACGTTCTCCGGTCAATAACCAACAGCGGGATCTAGATACCCATGATGGCTCCCACATGTTCCACGATGATCTCATCGGATGAACCACGATGTCAAGGACTTTATCAATCCCGTATTCAATTCCCTTTGTCTATCGGTATGTTACTTGCCCGAGACTCGATCGTCGGCATCCAATACCTTGTTCAATCTCGTTACCGGCAAGTCACTTTACTCGTTCCGTAACACATCATCCCGTGATCAACTCCTTGGTCACATTGCGCATATGATGATGTCCTACCGAGTGGGCCCAGAGATACCTCTCCGTTTACACGGAGTGACAAATCCCAGTCTCGGTCCACATAAAACAATAGATACTTTCGGAGATACCTGTAGTGCACCTTTATAGTCACCCAGTTACGTTGTGACGTTTGATACACCCAAAGCACTCCTACGGTATCCAGGAGTTACACGCTCTCATGGTCAAAGGAAGAGATACTTGACATTGGCAAAGCTCTAGCAAACGAACTACACGATCTTTGTGCTATGCTTAGGATTGGGTCTTGTCCATCACATCATTCTCCTAATGATGTGATCCCGTTATCAACGACATCCAATGTCCATAGCCAGGAAACCATGACTATCTGTTGATCACAACGAGCTAGTCAACTAGAGGCTCACTAGGGACATATTGTGGTCTATGTATTCACACGTGTATTACGATTTCCGTATAATACAGTTATAGCATGAATAAAAGACTATTATCATGAACAAAGAAATATAATAATAACTTATTTATTATTGCCTCTAGGGCATATTTCCAACAGTCTCCCACTTGCACTAGAGTCAATAATCCAGTTCACATCGCCATGTGATTAACACTCACAGGTCACATCGCCATGTGACTAATACCCAAGAGTTTACTAGAGTCAGTAGTCTAGTTCACATCACTATGTGATTAACACTCAATGAGTTTTATGTTTGATCATGTTGCTTGTGAGAGAGGTTTTAGTCAACGGGTCTGAACCTTTCAGATCCGTGTGTGCTTTACAAATCTCTATGTCATCTCCTAGATGCAGCTACCACGCTCTATTTGGAGCTATTCCAAATAACTGTTCTACTTGGAGCTATTCTAAATTATTGCTCCATTATATGTATCCGGTCTCTCTACTCAGAGCTATCCGGATAGGTGTCAAGCTTGCATCGACATAACCCTTTACGACGAACTCTTTTACCACCTCCATAATCGAGAAAATTCCTTAGTCCACTAGTTACTAAGGATAACTTTGACCGCTGTCCTGTGAGCCATTCTTGGATCACTCTTGTACCCCTTGACTGACTCATGGCAAGGCACACTTCAGGTGCGGTACACAGCATAGCATACTGAAGAGCCTACGTCTTAAGCATAGGGGACGACCTTCGTCCTTTCTCTCTATTCTGCCGTGGTCGAGCTTTAAGTCTTAACTTCGTACCTTACAACTCAGGCAAGAACTCCTTCTTTGACTGGTCCATCTTGAACACCTTCAAGATCATGTCAAGGTATGTGCTCATTTGAAAGTATTATTAAGCATTTTGATCTATCCTTATATATCTTGATGCTCAATGTTCAAGTAGCTTAATCCAGGCTTTCCATTGAAAAACACCTTTCAAATAACCCTATATGCTTTCTAGAAATTCTACATCATTTCTGATCATCAATATGTCAACAACATATACTCATCAGAAATTCTATAGTGCTCCCACTCACTTCTTTGGAAATACAAGTTTCTCATAAACTTTGCATAAACCTAAAATCTTTGATCATCTTATCAAAGTGCATATTCCAACTCCGAGATGCTTACTCCAGTCCATAGAAGGATCGCTGGAGCTAGCATACCTTTTAGCATCCTTAGGATCGACAAAACCTTTCTGATTGTATTACATACAACCTTTCCTTATGAAACTGGTAAGGAAACTCGTTTTGACATCCATCTGCCAGATTTCATAAATGCAGCTAATGCTAACATGATTCCGACGGACTTAAGCATCGCTACGGATGAGAAAATCTCATCGTAGTCAACTCCTTGAACTTGTGAAAAACTCTTCGCCACAAGTCGAGCTTCATAGACGGTGACATCACCATCCACGTCCGTCTTCTTCTTAAAGATCCATTTATCTCAATGGCTTGCCGATCATCGGGCAAGTCCACCAAAGTCCATGCTTTGTTCTGATACATGGATCCTATCTCGGATTCCATGGCTTCTAACCATTTGTCGGAATTTGGGCCCACCATCGCTTCTCCATAGCTCGTAGGTTCATTGTTGTCTAGCAACATGACCTTCAAGACAGGATTACCGTACCACTCTAAAGTACTACGCATCCTTGTCACCCTACGAGGTACGGTAGTGACTTGATCTGAAGTTTCATGATCACTATCATAAGCTTCTACTTCAATTGGTGTAGGTGCCACAGGAACAACTCTTTGTGCCCTGCTATACACTAGTTGAAGTGACGGTTCAATAACCTCATCAAGTCTCCACCATCCTCCCACTCAATTCTTTCGAGAGAAACTTTTCCTCGAGAAAGAACCCGATTCTAGAAACAATCCTTTATTGCTTTCGGTTCTGAGACAGGAGGCATACCCAACTGTTTTTGGGTTGTCCTATGAAGATGTATTTATCCGCTTTGGGTTCGAGCTTATCGGCCTAAAACTTTTTCACATAAGCG